CCAAGGATTGTGGTTTAAGCTACTCCAAGCATCTAGATTACTCGCCACACAGGCAGAATTATTAACAGCTTTTTGGCTTTATTTCCCAAAATTTCTATCTTCCTAAAATTAAATCAAGAATTAATCAAATGTTTGTCCTCCCCATTCTTGAGTAACTTTGTCCATTATTTAGTTTGACGAACGAGGCTAGTCGTTCAAAAATTGAAAATGTTCAAAGACATTTTGCAAGAAGGCTCTTAAGCACGGCACACCCAGATAAATTACCTAAATTTGATTGTGGGTTCGGATATTAAAAGCAGGCTTCTGTTCTCTCTTTCGCGTTAGTTATAGATCAAAGCTCCCAATCTTCGAAATCCTGCCAGTAGATGTAGGATCATCAGACAATCTAGATGCGTTTAAGAGAAGTCTGCGCCATCATCTGAATACTGAGTCGATTAAACTTTTATTTTCCTCACCCTTTCCGGACAATATTCCCTATGAAATTGACAAAATGCCATCGGGAATCTAGGACGCCAACACCAAAGTACCCTATCCGCTCACATCTCCTTCTGCGCGCGTGGCTTCAGTTTCTGGGATCTCTCATAAAAAGTTTCAACTTTTGCGATTTTTTTAGTCCATGCATCGTGTCTTTCCACAGAACGCGATATCTCTCCTGACAAATCCTCCAAAAGAAGTGACGGGGTTAGGTTGGCGTGCACGCTTTTAGCCGCCTCCGTTTCTCCAGCCGCCGACCCTTGTCGGGAAACCACTCTGGCCGCTGCGGTTTCGAACCCTTGTCCCGAGTCGATGATTTTCGCGTTTCTTGATTTTGGCTCCTCATTCCGACCCTAAGTGGTCTGTTGGTGATCACGGCGGAATCCTTCGTTTTCGTCATCTGCTAGTAGTTTAGTCAGTCAGCGAATAAGTCCCAGGGTCGCGTTCTCTCCTCTACGCATTGATGACCGCCCTAGCCCTTAACGTCCTCTCCTCGGCTGGACTCTAAGCAGACTGTGGCTGATTGCGTCTAGTTTGCTCTTGTCTAGCCACTTCGGGATAAATAGCCTCACCTGGTTTAGAAATTCTGGCTTACTGATTTCCGTTTAGAATCCCTTACACAATACCATACGCAGGCCAGTCCCGATCGACCAGCATATTTACCCTTTCGTGGGCGGCAGTTTTTTCTTCGTAAAGGCCTACCAATTCATATTCATTTTGTCTTATTCAAAAGGAATTTTGGTGAGAATACAGTCTCACATCAGTTAGGGGAACTTCATCCTCCGCCAGCCTCTCTTACGTGATAGGAGGGGTTGTGCGGGTGGGGGAGGAAGTTTCCCTAATTTTTGCGACACTGTATTCCCGCATGGTAGGGCTCTGATATGAAGCAGTGAACTTATCTGTGCAATGGAAGCCCCACAGCAGCTTGCAACACACATGTACTGCCTGAAGCTGCATACGACAGTAATGCGTCAGGATCAGGGAAGTATCACCATTTCCGGAGCACGGGCATCCACTTTTGCGGGTCAGCTGCTAAAAGAAATGGATAATTCTGAAAACTACCAGCTATTATCCGCAGTTTCTGCGGACCGTACCTACCACCAGCGCGTGGTAAATGACTTTGTTAAAAATAACTACTATTGTCGGCCACCATGCATGTCCCCATTAGAAAAGGACAGAATGGCAATATTTGTTTATCGGATATCTGGTGATCTGTTTGATGAGATAATCATCCAACACTTCGCCGCCGACGGAGGACAGCGGACAAATGGCGTTATATGGATTAAGATTACATTAGGTCGTTTTTAAAAAGACTTGTCACCTATGCGCATTTAGCAACCATAATGTATGTGTTTTCAATCGTTGGAACACTGACAAGCCGCTCAATTGGCGAAACTTAGAAGATGCTCTGAAGAATGCCTTTAAGAAGAGCCAAGACCACTTGCAAAGAAGGCGTCAAAAGGTGATGTGGGCGCAATTAACGCTTGGTAGGTTTTTAGTAAGACAGTTGCATCACTAACAGTTTTACGTTAATTTTAACAAGGTTGTAACTATGGATTTCTTGTTTTTGCGTGAATATATCAAAACATATCATAGAAAAGCGGCGCATCACGATGGCCAAAAGAAAATCTGTACAAGCGGAGCCATAGAGACTATTATTACATTTGCAAACCCTTTACTGAAACAGATTTCAAAGTTTCCATTTTCTCTTTTTTTCTATGTAATATCCCAAAACCCATTCAACCGACTACTGCTATTTTAAGAGGCATAAGAGAAATGAATAGTTGCATATTGTGGGCGGCGGATAACTTAGGAAGGACCACGGCATACGTAAAGATGAAACACGAACGCAAATATTTCGTACTCTATTCAAGTTCGACTACAGAACTGCTCTATATTCCCGTTCGAATTGCTACTAGGACAGTTCAGTAAGGTTTAAAAATAGTTAACCTCCATAATGTTGAGCCTAGTTTTCAAAGCACAAGCTTCCTATGAATCCAAGAAACCAAACGCATACTCGGGAATATTTTCATCCTGAAGGCGTCTGCTTTTACCCCGTAAGAAATCACCTTCTAATTCTCTGCAGAGTACCGCCTAAAAATTAATCGTGCCGTTAACCTGCACGGATTTTGATAGAAAAGGCATCTGACAAATCAAATTAATAAAGCCTTGACCAATTTGAGCATTCGTAAACCATTGAATTCAAATTACCCAATGGGAATCAGAAGTTGTCAATCAATCCGTGCAGTTGGGGTCCATTTCCGCCATTTACTAATCATTCGGGATGGTGTGTCAAAGTTGTTTTATATAATGTTTTAGGCCACTGACATTGAAATGAAGGATGAGTCAAAGGACGAAACGCTGAAAATAAAGAAGGCAGAAACCCCAAAAATCTCAAAGGTTACTGTCCACCCACTTGTTCTTTTGGGCGTTGTTGACCACTACAATCGCATGGGAAAGGTTAGTGGCGGCCAGAAGCGGGTTGTTGGTGTGCTTCTCGGTGCTCTTAAAGGGACTAATCTGGACGTGAGCAACTGCTTCGCTGGTAGCTTTGTCATTTGAAATGAATTCGTAGTCCCCTTCGAGGAAGATCCAACTGATTCAAGCGTGTGGTTTCTCGACCATGACTACCTCGAAAATATGTTCGCAATGTTTAAGAAAGTTAATGGTTTGTCCTTGTTTCAAATTAAACAGAAAATTAGCCCGCGAGCGGATCGTCGGGTGGTATCACTCCGGACCGAAGCTGTGTGCAAATGATATCAAGATCAACGAACTTTTCCGCAAATATACTCAAAATTCCGTCCTAGTTGTCGTGGATGTAAGAACAAAGGAAAGCGACGGACTCCCAACTGAAGCCTATATTGCTGTCGAGGAAGTTCACAATGTAAGCTAGATCTGTCAAACGACTCCCTCGAGTGGCAGCGTTGCCAATATTATTTTCTGTTCCTCCTTTCTGGGAAATTTTTTCATACCGTAGTGACAGTAAATGATCCCTGTTAATCGCAGTCAATACCTATGCCTCGAGCATTTGCAAATTGTTTAGTCACGTTAACCCTGGCTTATTCTAAGAAGTTAGAGTTTGTTAGCTTTTTGCGCACTCATTGATGTAACAGACTAAGCGTTACTCGCTGTTATCCGGTCATCACAATTTCCTTCTAAGACCGGCTGAACATAGCCGGCTCATAACTGTAAGTAATCAGTGGTGTCTAACCCACACGTCCCCTCTGCTGCTCAGCACAGCTGCTCTCGCAGTTTGTATACCTAGTACATCGCTGTTACTTAGGTGACTGGGTCACTGCTTCTGTGAGTCAGTGACTATGGGTACTCAACGAGCTACTTACTGTCTTCTGAAATTTCCTTTTGGAGTTGGTTGTTTATGGTGTTCTTCCTTTCTGCTATTCAAGTACCTTTGCTTTCAACGTTCACCAAATCATTTACGGGACCAGCTTATCACGCTACCACTTCCCCTATTATCGGCTGTTTTTCACGACAATACGTCCGCCTTAGCGCCTCCAAGTTCATCTAAGAGTAACAGGACGCCATAGAACTTCGACCTCGCCCTCTCATTGTCTTATCAGCGGCTAACCAATGTACTACTACCTGTACTTGGTACGGCTGCGATCATACCTGATCTAGCCGTCACACAGTGTAGTACACACACCAGCTGGACACGTCTGTCCATGCCACCCGATTCGCCTGCCATTTTCACCTAGCCACCGAAGATCGATGTTATATCCAACTAACGGCATATTTTACCTTGGACGACTTTTTGTCTTCTTTTTCTGTTTCATCCAGGACGGCTCTCCGACAACTAAAACATTCGACCACCTCCTGTCCGAAATTGGTGCTGAAGAGGCGGAAGAAGTAGGCGTGGAGCATTTACTAAGGTAGTGTTATACTCTTGCTTTGCGCAAGACTTTCAAGGCACTCGTAACGCATGCTTTTGTGCTGTAAATGTTAGGGACATCAAGGACTCTTCTCTGGGCACGCTGTCTCAGCGGATCGGCTCAAAGCTAAGCGGCCTGGACGGCATGATGCATCAACTATCTGAGATCCAAACCTACCTAGAACTTGTGGCCACTAAGCGTATTCCAGTCAACCATGCAGTCATCTACTCGCTGCAAGATATCTTTAACTTGCTTCCAGATCTGCGACTACACGATACTGTGCGCGCGCTCAACATGACGTCCAATGATCAGATGCTTGTCGTCTATGTCGCCTGTATCATGCGTGCCATCTTGGCGCTACATGACTTGATTAACAACAAATTAGCCAACAGGGAGTCAGAGCGTAGTGAAGACCTTTCCTCTGATAAATCGAAGAAGGCGGCCGCTCCAGCCGGAGATCAAGCAGCGAAACCGGTCGCCGACACGTCGGAAAAACCTACAGACAAAACAGCACAGTAGGATTGTTCATATCTGTTCTACCTACACACCGTCTGATTTTTTAAATAATTTACGCAATATACTGCTAAATCCGCATAGTGGTTTTGCTAATTTAGTCGCAGCTGCCTAAAGCCCGCCTACCGACATGACTAAATAAGTAGCAGCGTCAGTGGGGAGGGGGCCCGTAACACTAGGACGAGAGGGATTGCACCTGTACGGAACAGTGTCTGTCCGAATCAGTCTTGCGATTGAAAAACCGGACAGTGTACGGAACGTTCGCGAGGGAACGAGGATTCGGCCCAAGGGGGACTACAATCTAACCATTTGTTCGTCCGCTATTTCCATATCAGCGATGGAAACTGGTAGGAACGGACACAGCGTCTGCAGTCAGGTTTGCCAAGCGTGGTCTCCCATTAATTCCGTTCTAGATCGCGATTGCCTTCATTTGATGATGACAAGCGTAGGGCCCCTGCCTTCTGGTTCGCATTCGCCGATGGGTCAGCCATGTGCTCGAATAATCACGACGAAAAAAATTAGTCACTGGCCACTCTTGGCCGGTATGGTCTCCCATCCGAAGCGGTTCCCAGGCTGCGAGCCGCTGCGCATACCACGACTAAGTGAAATCTCCAACAGGAGCTGGATGTCATCACAAATCAGTGAGGAAAGGTCAACCGTTTGCGGTTGGCAGCTTGGACCGGGTGGTATCAGATAAAGGAGCCCACCAGTCTCCCAACAACATACGCAAACTTACTGATTTACATGAGTACAAAGTCGTAGTAGGTAATGGTCGGAAGAATGTCAATTGGGCAACGTGTCAACTAGCGCGAAATAAGCAGAGAATTTAAGTCCACCAAAGATGGCGAGAAAACGATAAGCCAACAACAGTCGGCGTTAAAATCTAGGGGGGAGGAGTTGATGAGTAGGACTCCGGCAGATTATGATTATCATGGTCTCGCTAGGGACGGCGTAGTCGTGTCCCGGAACAACGCAGACACGCCGCGTCGGATCTTCGCGTGTACTGTTTCTGATACAGGGGGCAGTTTCTTATCAGTGCGTGTCCCGCTTGGCTAAGAGAGATGGTCAGATTTTCCGCGTGTGGATTGAAAGACGTGCTGAGGGCGATGGTTCGGATACAGACGACGGGAGATCAAGAGGTCCTAGTGGATATAAAAAAAAGTAGTAGGCAGTGAGGATTGAACACAGGCCTCAGTGTAGAAGTCTCATAGGACTGAGAAAGCTGCTTCTGACAGCACGTCAGTTCTTGCGCAGGCGCAGATAGCAAGGCGAAGCCGGATATGGTGTGGCGAAGGATCGCTATCAGCGTAATCATAAGGAACTGCGGCACGAGATGTTTATTCCTCTGCCGCGTGTTATACAGTGGCTGATCTTATGAAGTGTTGAAAGGGATTCTGAAATGCCTTTCTAATAGGGAAGGATCACTTATGCGGGGTTGCAATAATGAAAATCGTGCGGTATGATACGATGGTATTTCAGAGGCGCAGGGGTTCTGGCCTTGGAATGCATATCTTTTCAATCGCTCACAAAGGCCGTCCTCGGTAGAGAACTGGCCACTTAAGTGGCGTGCACACTTTAATTGATTTTTGGTGCCCTTATGAACCAAAATACATTCATAGAAAAGCATCCATAAAATATTATTTTTTGTAATCATTTGATAGAAAATTACGTCTTCAGGCGCGTGGGGCACGTCCCAAACAAATACAGATGGGTTGTCTTGACGGAGACCCCCTACACAGCCCGATTAGGGTGATTCCACTTGGACAGAGGTTTAGTCGAAAATAGACAAGTCGCGCGCGCCCGATTAGTTCGATGATCGATCTTACTCTCCACCCTGCGGAAAGTCTGATCCGAGGCGGCAGCCGCCAGTAGTATGAGCGCGCAGATAAATTTGTTGAAACGCCCGAGGTGATGATCTCTAATGTGGAAACATTAACTTCCAAGCTCAGTTTATTGTCTTCACACTTATCCAGGACAGCGCCTCTGCACAAAGAAACTAGCCAGCACCTCAGTATCATCGGCGAAATCAAAATTTTTAATACAGGTCGGAAGCCATTCTAACACTGCAGTAGTTTGCTAACGCGTGTTGAAGAACCCAATCAGTCTGACGATCGAAAAGAGTTGGTGGGCAAACACAATGCTGGTGGATGCCAGAGACGACAAAATAATTCACCCTCTTCGCCACTAATACAGACGTTGATTTTATTATTTGAGAACGGTCTGGAATCATGTGAAAGTTTTAGCAGTATGCTGTAATGCAGCAGGGCCGATCACAGGGAATCCATATAGGCAGTCGCAATCAAGGAAACAGACGCGAGTGAGTTACTGGCGACAGTGACGGTACCTCAGAGATCTCCCCAAAAGTATGCTTCAGATAGAATCGGTTCCGTTCTACTGAAGAAGCCTTAGATGCCTTGTCTGCTTTGTAAAACAAAACGGGTGGAGGTGGACAAACGAAGACTCATTTTAGTAGCCAGCTACCTGAAACGAGGGTTTTAAATGCAACTAATTATCCAAATGCTATGCGGCTTTTGTCTGACAAGGCTTCCAGCCAACCAAAAGAAGATTTTGAGTGCTCCAGCTAAGAAACTGGCGCCGGCCACAACTCGCCAGAACTTTTCACAGTATGCGTAAGCAAATGCGCTGACAATGGGGAAACGTGGCCTCGGCTCAACCATGGAATTTTATACTATCGGGGGAAACGTCCATAAAGCTGAAGCAATGGTACAAGTTTTTGAATAGTCTGCGGAAAAGAGAAAGGGGGCACGCGAGTCGGTATCGTTCATACACTACCGGTTTAAGCTAAGTTTCATCAGGAGCAAAATGCTGTCCAGATCATCTGGCTGCGAAATGAGAACCCTGGGCATCTACTCAGCGAAGTCCCAGCAGGAGGGCGAGCTAGTGGTAACATATGTCATCAGAATGCAGCCCTACGGTTCTACGAACCAGAATCCAATTATGTTAATCGTGGTGAGTCCCACAGCTCATTCTAATGAGGCCTAAGTAACACATTCTACTCTCCGGACGGTGACGCCACAAAAGATCCTCTCCAGGTTGTGAATATGGCTGAAGTTCGATACCAGCACGAATGTTGCAAAAACTTGGGCATGGGTGACCATGGCCAAGGTCTTATAGTTGGAAATCTCCATAATTCCGAAATGGGCGATACGGATTTGAGACAGCTAAGGATAGCCTGTTGCAAATGATGGAAAATAAAATCCAATTACAACTACAGAGACAGAGACCGCAGTAAACAGGATCCGGAAGGGACGAAACCTACGTGCAGGGGAGATCCAAGACCGCACCGGACTCTGTGGCACTGTCTGTGTCCTCCTCTCCCTCTTCGACATCCCTATCATTATCGGGTCCGGCCTCCTCGCCAGATTCTCTCGGACGATGGGGCTGACGTCGCCTGTGCGTTTGGAAAATGACAGCGCCGCCGCTGCGTCCACGTTCACCAGGCAAACCGACCACAATATGGGCCATCACACTGCGCGCCGTGGCCGAGACGGAACGCTCCCTCGAGCGTTGGGCACCCTCGTCCTCATCGGTGTGGGACTCCTCGAGGGCAGAAGCGGCAACTGGGGGATCCAGGAAGGGCGCAGCTTGTTGGTGTGACTCTTTTTCACTAGGATCGCCGCTGCTACCCGCGTCATTGAGGCCGCCACCTGGGCAAACGGGCAGGGAAGAGTAATGGCTGTCCGAGCTGTCGCCGCTGCTGGCCTCTCCGGACGATTCATCGCCCGCCACTCGTGCGGTGTCCGCGTCCCTGTCTCTTTCACGCCGTCGAGGCATTCCATAGCCGATGTGCCGCAGCACTACCTCCAGGGGATCTGCTCGTAGGCGTTCTTGATTAGCCTCTGCGGCACCCACGTAGTCCTTCACAAGACGATCACATTCGGGCTTGTCCTTTGGAGGAACGAAATGAGTGTGGAGGCAGTTTAAAAGCAAGCGAAATGAGGGATAAGCAGAATGTCATGCAGTTTTTAGAACCTCCTTAAGCTTCGTCACAGATGCTTAAAACTTAACAAGAGACACGCCTAACAAGTAGCAAGTAGTTTTAAAAACTTGTATGATTTTCCCAAGTGGAAGGTATACAACTTGTAGTTTGGAAAACATAAACGTGAGTGCAAGGCAGGTCGGGTTCAAAACTATTCAGCAATTGAAAAACTGAAAGCTACCCTTCCTCCAGGTATAAATTTGAAGACGTAATTAACTACTGAATGATTACAAGAAATTATATTTTTTGTGAAATTTTCCCATAAACATGCATGAATTTCCAAGGACATCGAAGATAAGTAGGAAGAAACCACATCGCTTGCTTATGCATTTTTTTACCGAGTGCGGTTTTTGCAAGCGATCGAAATGAAGTTCATACAAAAGCCGACATTCTGACGTGGCTGAAATATCTTGGGTTTATGGTGCACGATAATTAACATCCTAACATTATCTAAGCAACCCTTCCGATAAAAGACGCCTTTTAGTCGCTTAATGTGGAATCAATTAATGCAAGCAGAAACCGGAGAGCATAATCCGATCTCCGTGGATTTGTGCAGGTAAATTTTTACCGTAAAGTAACTTGACAATGGTAACCACAAAGACTTTAACGTGTAACCGCTGCGCTAACTGAATTTGCTGTATTTCCTAATAACATTAAGAGAGTTAGTTAACCTCGGACTGGCAAAATCAAGTACAAGTAAGTGGCAAAATCAATTTTTACTTTCCATAGATAGTTATTACAAAACGCCGTTTATTCTAGTGGGCAAGAACATCAGGGTGGGCCAATCGTCAATTGGTTTGCGTTTTTAAACAAGAAAACAATTTAGATTACTGTTGTCTTATTAGTGGACACGAGATTTATCATTTGATTTTGAAAAAACCCCTAATTCACTGCATTACATATTTCCGTGAAAGTCACGCACTGTCACCTAACCGATTAGCTTATAGGAGGTGTTATTCAAGCAAATTTACTTTCGAAATGGGGTAGAGATTTCCATGAAAAATTT